CTCAAAAGCTCTAAAATTTATAGCTTAATAAAAAATCAATACGGAGTATAATGTATCAATAATATTTTATTAAATGTACTTTTAACTGAGAATTGAACTCAATCTAACCCCGGCCTACTGAAACCCGATTCGGACATAATGGGTCTCATTTTGAGCCCATTTTTCCATACCCCTACGACCATTTGGAGAGGGAAGGTTTTAAGAGTTCAAAGAGTTAAAAATGGAATTTTTGGACGCCTAAATGTGTGTAGTGGGGGATTGGAAGAGATCTTAAGAGCATCTCCAACCCATAGGGTGGATTGGTGCTTATGAGTACAACAAATGGAGAGGGTGTATTAAAATTATGAGATAAAAGTAATCATGATAAGGAGGTCCATTGATACTCTACTCCAATGGGGAAGTGAAGCTTGTGCAATATAAAAATCATCATTAAAAAAATCTCAAACTAGACCTTCTACTTGACCTTGTCCATTGCCACAAAGGATGGACCCCATCCATTTCTTTTTGCATTGGAAAGTGCATTTGCTTACAAATGGTCCATTTGGTGAGGTGGATGACATTTTTTTGGCAATCCACCTCCCCATTGGAGTTGCTCTAAAAGTGGGTAAGGGGGTTAGGGTCTTATTAGGGAGTGTTTGCAATTGCTTAAAAGGCACTTCTCGGCTTTTGACTTAAAAACACTTATTTACCAAACACTACCAATTTTTACTTTTCTCGACTTTCGTTTGAAAAGTGTTTTTCCCTTTTCTATTACACAAAAAACACTTATTTTACCAAACACTACCAACTTTTACTTTTCAAAATCACTTTTTTCTCAAACACTATCAACTTTTATTTAATCATGTTTTCCAAAAGTGCTTTTTTAAGCAGAAGCTGTTGCAAACACTCCCTTAATAGAGGGTGGATTGACTCTCAAATGATAATGTCATCCCTGTGTCATTAAACCTCAAATTTTTTAAAACTCTTATAACTTTTTTATTTGTATTCCAACTTTTTCAAAGAACATATCAAAATTCATGAATTTTCGTGATCTTTCATATGACACCAATATGTAATATATAAAATTAAAAAAATCTCAAGTTTTAACCGTTGAAATTTTTCTGAGTAAAAAAACATGAATCACAAATTTTTAATTCATGAAGCATTCACAAATAACTCAATATTTCATAATCGAACTTTACTTGAACTAAGTTCATTTTTTTAAAACTGAAAAACATTAAAAAAATTAATGAAATTTATTTATTTTTACATTGAAATGTGTATTTTTTTCATAATTATTTAGGGAACATATTTAAAGTAAAACATTACTTATAATAATTTAATTAATGTTTTACTAAATTGATATGTAAAAAAAATATGCTGAGAGTATTTTATTGACGGTGCACGAATGCAGGAAAATATAGTATTGACGGAGTTTAAACACTATTTTTATATGGACGGAATCCAAATTTAACAATTTAGACTCTTGACCACTACAAGGTCTAAAGTATTAAGGACAATTTTAGTGTTATAAAAAAACGGAACCAAATGGAACAATTTCACTCCTACTCTTAGATGTTATGTGCCGTTGTGAAGTAATGTATGTTTTAGGGATGGGCAAAAGACCCGGTCCCATTGGTCCGTTCCAGAACGTTCCAGTTCCGTTCCGAAATTGTCCCGTTAAATACGGGATAAACTATTTTTGTCCCGTTCCGGTCCCGAACCGTTTCAAAACAAAATGAGACCGGGACAAGTAAAATATGTCTCGTTCCATCCCGTTGTCCCGAATTCGAATACTAATGAAATTAATTAGGTATTAGATATCTAATATGTAAAACACCTAAAGGAGTTTAAATTGTCAAGTATGAACTATCTTCTACATACTAAAAAGAAACTCTCGTATACTCCCACATGTTTCACTTATGATAATATTGTTTTAGTCTTTTTTATTTTTGCTGTTTATTAGTAGTATTATGTGTGTTGGAGTTATTGTTGTTAAAAAAAGTAAAAAAAAAAAAAATTATTGTTGTTGTTACCGTTTGTTTCGTGCAACTATCCTATTATTCTACTACTTTTTTGTGTTGCATTTTTAGTGTTGTAGTTTTTTGTCATGAAGTTTGTTTATCGCCTTGATGTGCTTTAGGAGTTGTATTTTCTCGCTGTAATTCTTTTTGGGATGTCCCGAACCGTCCCGTTCTGTTCCGGTACCGGTTTAAAAGGGACGATAGCGGGATAACGTCTTGTCCCGTCCCGTTCTGTCCCGTTATCCTAAATCGGGTTCGGGACCGAGATAGTCTAATTCCCATCCTGTCCCGTCTCGTGCCCACCCCTAGTGTGTTTTTTTCAATAAAAACAAATGAATTATTATTATTATTATTATTATTATTATCAATCAATTCCTTGTTCAAATAAAACCAGCCATCAGACATATAAATAACTACCTTAACAAGTTGTTGAGCAACTTGATTCGCTGACCGTTTCGCATGAGGTATTGTTATGCTAAAAAAACTTAAAGTAATGTATGTTTGCAAAACAATAAGACATATTGTATTGCCTTTTATGCTCTTTTTAATTACTCCCTGGTTAAATCTTGACGTTTGCTTTTGGCAAGATGTTTTAGGTGACCAATTATTAGAAAAACAAATGTCTTTCATGCCCTATGATTTTGGGGATAATTAATGTAATCCAATCAAATGTAAAAAGTGGGCGAGGAGTGAATGTAGTTAGGACATTTAATGTAAAAGGAGTTTCCTAAAAAAGAAACGTAAAGATTTAAATGGGACGTCCCAAAAAGAAAAATGTAAAAAATGTATTTGGTTTTGTCACTCAAAAGATTTGTTCAAAAGTCTACATTCGGTAACAACACAATTTAAGTTGTGTTTAAATTTAAAGATTTTATATAAAGGTAATTACTTTGATTACATTGTGAGTGTTTGTTGCTTTTAGGATGTTTTTACTTGGACTGTAATTTGCTGGTCTGGTCTGGTCTGATCTGGTCTGGTCTGGTCTGGTAAGGTCTGGTTTCTTTGTATTTTTATAACTATCCAAGTCTGGTCTGGTCTGATCTGGTCTGAACTGGTCTGGTCTGGTCTGGACTGGTCTGGTCTGGTCTGGGACAAATTACAGTCCAAGTAAAAACATCCTTAGTATTAATTACAACAACTTATTCAACTTAACAACAATAGACAAAACAAGTACTTTTCTTTCTAAAAACCATTTTAATTATTAAAAAATTCAATATTATATATTTTTAGCTAGTCGCGCTAGCTACATTTATTGGAAAAACTACGCACATACATATGTAAATATATGTAGTATATGTCTCTTCTTTCTTCTTTTCTTGTTTGTTGAAGATCGTTGGGTTTTCATCTTAGGGGGTGTTTGGATCTGATTCTCAGAACTGATTCTGCTCCTTCAGGGAGCAGAAGCAGAAGCTGGAGTGTTTGGGTGAAATTCCAGAATCACTTCTGGAGCTCTAATTTACTCTCAGAATCAGTTTTTTTAGAAGCTGGGGGGTACCAGCTTCTGAAAACTGATTCTGATTCTGCTTCTGCTTTTAAAAAAGAAGCAGAAGCAGAATCAGTTCCAAACACCCCCTTATTCTTGAAATAAACTTATTTATAAATTAAAACACATCAAAGAAACAAGTGAATGAATAACTGAAAGATGTAATGGGGTGAAAAATAGAATGAAAAAGGTTTCACGGATTTTTCCAAATCGCTAACCCTGCAATAATAAAGTCTTGTTGCACTTGCTACTAGTGCAACCATTAACAAACCTATTAATGAATATATTTTCTTAGAATTGAAAAAGTAGGTTTCCAAAAATATAATTGTAATAATGTTTATGTGTAAAATGTGAATAACGTGGCTATGAACATAATTTTATAGTCCTTATGATGTAATATTAAACATAGTTATAGTGACTAAAGTTACTAAATCACATTTTTGTCCAATATTTGATACTCTCTTTGTTCCACTTAAATTGTCTCATTTTTCATTTTAGTTTTCCTCACTCAGATTATCTCATACCAATTTTTTTGTGTGATTCTAAATCATTCTTATTTTATTCTCACTTAATCAATGAATATCAGTCACACAAACCTCATTGTTTTTAGCAACCACACATCCTTCTTTTCTACCATACTAGGGCAAAGGTAGTAATTTATTTGGAATTATATTATTTCATTAAATATTATACATTGCTCTCTTTGTCCCAAATTTGGAGCATAGATTTAAATTATCAGTGTTATAGTTCACAATTTTAAAAGTATTTCTATAATGGAATCACAAATTATATATAACTGAAATCACATGTAGCAATGGTCCCTAGTTTCACAAGTATTACAAAAGGGGATTTAAAGGCGTCATTACTATCAAACTCATGCATCAGCTCTTGGGAGAGTTCGAGATTATTAATAACCTTCCAAACAAGAAAAGAGATTTTGCTAGGGATATTCGTGCTCCAAATGTGCTTATTAAAATTGTCAATTATTCTTTTGGATCCAGATTCATCATAGGCACTTTTAAAAGAGTAGGAGCCGGAAGGGTTAGGGGTCCAAACAAAGACATCATTGTGCACATATAAATGGTGCTTAAAAGAAGTAACATTCTGGCAGGATATAATCAAACAAAAGAGACTGAATGCCATAGAAAAAAGTAGGGTGAGTAAAAGCTTCACTTATAGCCACTTGAGGGTGCAAAAGATTTTCATCTAGCTTAATCCAACAACCTATCAAAATCAATCCAATTGGAATTTCAGAAAGAAGAATTACCCTTACAAACCGCCAGAGTAGTTAAATTTGTCAAAGGTGTTCTTGTCCTTCCTCAGACCTTTCGAGAGATAAGAGAGGAGTGGGTTCTTAAATTTGGAGAACTATAATCCCCATAACTTGTTTTAATGAGCAGCTTTCCACCAACATTTGAGATAGAAACAATTTTGAATAGTAAATGAGTCCCTAAAACCCAAACCACTTTCCTTAGTCTCTACAATATAATAAGGATGAATGAAGGTTAGGGTGTTGTGGGTAAAAAAAAATTGTTGGTGGTATTTTAAGCTTGGTTGACATGTACATAGTGCTTTAATGGTTGTAAACTCTCACCTTGAATTGCGTTTGTCCCTCAACAATCTGTCTCCTTCCCGTTAATGCCCGTTAGTATTAATCTTACGAGCGGCCCCGTACGTGTCCGTTTCCGTCTTCCTATCGAGCCCAACAGGCCCAGCGGTTCCCCACCAGGAATCTCCACTCCCTCCTTGTCCGCAGTCTATAGCCGCAGAAGACCATTGTTCGCTCGGATCGGACCGGAATCACGCTTGACCTACACTCGCTCACCCTCCCTCTTGGTCCGCACATCCCGCTCAGTCCTTTCGTCTTCTATGGCTTTTGTCTGTAAGTTTTTTCCTCAATTGATCATAACTCTGACATTTATTGTCCTGTTTAATTCCAGCACATCGATCCTTCTCCTCTCCATAGGAAGTTATGGAAATCCAATGGACTGGGTCATCTTCACTCCTCTTCCCTGGGCGTATAAACCATGCTGTTCGGTAGGCAGACATTTTTTCCCGCAGTTTCAAGCTTCTCCAGGTGTGTCTTCTTCCTTGTCTGTACTTCACCCAGGTTTCTAATTTTCTTGACCTAAATGTAGCATTCTGTTAAATTCTAGTCCATATTAGGTTGGAGTTGTGAATTCTACTCACTCCTCACTAACATCTTGTGCTACAACAACCTACCCCTTCACACTTTTACTTTTATGTTTTGGTTTCGTTAGTATAATTTGATAGAGGATTTGGCATTCAAGTATCTGTTTACATACTAGGGGTGGGATCGGTCCGGTCCGGGTCGGGTTTTTGTTAAACCCGGAAATTACCCGTAAGGTCTCGGGTTTTGAAAATTAGGGACCGGAAAAAAGCCCAATATATTCGGTCCGAGTCGGTTTTTTTTGTAGCCCGGGTTCGGTCCGGGTTCGGGTTGGGTCGGTTAAAGCCCGAATGTGAAATCATCTCATTTTTCTTTTATATTTTAAAATTTATTTTCAAATAAAATTAATCAAAAGTACAAACCGCAAATAATAACACAAATATTAGTCTCCAAAATCACCAAGAATTCAAATCCAAAGAAGACAATCATCATGATATTTCGTTTAAGATGCATAAAAATAAATAATATATGTTTTCTAAAAATGTCATGAAATAAAATTTATGTATAAAAATGTGACTAAAGTTACTATAAATATGTTTTCATGGTCATTACGATAAATAAATTGAATATATTTGTAGTAACTAATACGGAGTAGTTATCAAGTCATTTTTTGTCCACCATGATTATAATCATATATTAGGAATTAATTTATAAATTACATTGGTATATTATATTGATTTTATATTAAAGTTAAATATTTTCGGGTTTTTATCGGTCCGGGCCGGTAATAGATTTTAAGGACCGTTAAATAACCCAAAATTTCGGGTTCGGTCCGGGTTTTTTTTTATTCGGGCCGGTCAAAAAGAAAAAACCCGGACCGATATCATAATTCGGGCCGGGCCAGGGTCGGTTTCCGGGTTTCGGTTCGGTTTTTCCCACCCCTATTACATACTACGTAGCTAGAAAAGGCCTCTTAGCAGTCTGTCAAGCATGTCTTTTTGCAATAGATTTCAGCTTAGGAATTTCAACCTGATTGGGTTTAGGAAATGATTAATATGTTAGTAAGTTAAGTGAAGTTGTATTCAAATGGAAAACGAAGGACTTAATTCTCACCTTGTAATAGACTGATTGAATGATACCATGCTTTTCTTATTTCAGCTTGGTGAAATTGTTAGCACTTCTGGGCACAAAGACTTGCATCAGAGTGTTACTTATTTTTAGAATTTCTCTTTCAATTTTATCTCAACTACATTAGTTTAAATACCATCTATATTGAAAAATGGTTGCTTACACTTCTCCTAAACCACTTTCCTAGTGACTGCCAAACAGGAGCTTCTGGTAACTTAGCTTGACTAACCATCTCCTCTAAAAACATGATTGCTTTATGTGAATTACTATTTACCAAGCAAAGACCGTGGATCACAGCATTAAAAGTTTCCACTCTAGGCCAATAAGAATTATTCAACATTCTGTCCAGCACAAGACTTGATTCTGTGTATCTACCTTCACGACATAGTCCATCAACTAAATTTTCATAAGTTTCCTTGTTGGCAACACAGCATAGCTGCGTTTGAATTTTCTCAAAATACTTGATGGCTAAATCCGATTTTTTTTCATCACAGAGTCCTTTTATTAGAGTATTATACAACTTAACATTAGGAAGACAATTGCTACCTACCATGTCCTGGTCAATAACCTCCATGGCCTCATTAACCCAATGTTGTCTAAACAATGCCAGCAACTTGGCCTCATATATCTCCAACGATGGTCTAAACCCTTTCTTAAACATTTCATTCAACACTTTGTTACCTTCATCAATCTTGTCTCTGGAGTAATAAGCAATTGCCAGTTCCCTGTAACTCTTATGATTAGGAATTAAGCCCATGATTAAAGTTTCATCAATAAATGCATTCAGATGGCAACTATCTGAATCATAGTGGCATTGAATTTGCCTTCGGTGTCTCTTAGGAGTCTTAAGCCCTTTGTGCAATACCTTTGAAACAACCTGAAGTGCTTCATCGAAATTCCCATTATCACAAAGCACTTCCAAAAGTGTCCTATACATTACAACATCTTCACCGCTGCCCTTAGCTGAAATCCTCCAGAACATTGAATACAATAAATGAATAGCCTCGTCAAACCGCTTTTCTTGACACAGCCCACTCATCAAAATCCTATAACTTTCCTTGTCTGCACAGCAGCAGGTTTGATGGCTCATCTATTGGAAAATACGGCAGGCAAGATTTTAACTGAATTAGTTAAACTCAGATATTTGAGATTTATGAGCAGAAATAACTCACTGTGCAGTCAAGCACTTCATATTGGTTGATTTGATTATATGGTCCAGAAATTCTTTCTCGTCTTGAATGACAGTATTGACAGCGACCTTCATAAAACCAATTCAATGTTAGGATAACAGCAGAGTACAAACTCAAATGCAGCTTTTAAAAAACTGGGGATAGAGAATGAGAGAAGCAAACGTAAAGTATGGCTAAAATAAATGGTCCAAATGTAAATAACATGGTGATGTGGAATGTCATCTAGCATTGTTCAACAGAATTAATGAAATGTGTTTATATAAATGATCATTTACACTGTCTTGGTTACATAAATGATCATATGACAAACTCTGAAGTACTTGATATCACTCATTCACTCAACATAGTTTCGGAACCAAAGGAAAATATGAGAGCACTACTAACTCTGGCTCTGTTTCATTTTAACACGGTTCAGTGACTTTTCACTGAAATTAAGAATTACGTTGTAGTAGTGAATACTTTAAAAGCAATGAAAGTAGTAAGAGAGGAAAGCAAAGATAGAATAGTAGGAAAAAGACGAAAACACTACGATACAATATAATTGTCTTCTGATGTGATGGTAGTTACCAAAAATGGAATGTTTAGCAACTAATAATATAACTCTATAAGACCATTTGTAGTGGTTAGGAGGCTAAAAAGTTAAAAAAGGACTTCGTCCATATGAAAACAATGTTTAGACTCTTATTCCTTGCATCCTAGCACCGTCAATAAAATACATTCAACATATTTTTTCACAAATCAATTTAGTAAAACATTAATTAAATCATCATAAGTAATATTTTCAATTTACTTATTTCCTTAAATAATTATGAAATAAAAAATACATATTTCGATGTAAAAATAAATAAATTTCATTATTATTTTTTTACGTTTTTCGGTTAACAAAAATTGAATTTAGTCCAAGTAAAGTTTATTATGGTATATTCAGTTATGTGTAGAGACTCCATGAATTAAAAATTTGTGTCTTGTGTTTTTTCAAGCTCAAGGAAATTCCAATAGTTAAAACATAAGATTTTTTTTCATTTTATATATTACATGTTGGTGTCATATGAAAGCTAATAAAAATTCGTAGATTTTCATATATCTTTTGAAAAATTTAGAGAACAAATAAAAAAGTTATAAGAGTTTTACAAAATTTTGAAAATAATTCGTGATATTAGTTGTCCTAATATGGGGGGTTTTAAATTTGGAAAATTTGGCTCATCTATTGGAAAATACGGCAGGCAAGATCGGATCTTTTCATTTGACAGAGGGCATCCATTAGTAAATTCAAAGAAAAAGTCCGAGACTTCACTTCCCATCGGCTTGAATTCTCAAGAAAGATGTGATATGTCTGATCAAGCTTAGACTCTTTCACAAGTATTTCCAACATACTCCCTCCGTTTCAAAATAAACTGCACAGTCAAACTTTTTGGGTCAAACTTGTTAAACTTTGACTGCTTATTACTCAAAATTAATAATATTTTATCCCAAAAAAATTATATAATGTGCTTCATTGTAATATGTATTTTTCAAATGTCAATTTATTATAGGCTTTATATGCATATATTAATAGGAAATTACAGTCAAATGTCCGCCTAGAAGACCGCAAAAGTCAAACTGTGAGGTTTATTTTGAAACGGAGGGAGTAGTATTAAAAGATCGAGTCCAATTAACGCAGTTGAACTGTGGAAGGCTTTTGAAAAGCAAAACCGCCTCATTGAATAATTTTTCATTTGCATAGGTTTTGATTGCACTCACAAAGACTGAGTCATGGCACTGGCATGAATCATCCTTCATCTGGTTAATAACATGTTTCATCTCAGTCAGCTGACCATTGCTTCCTAGAATGTTTATCATGGCTTCGTAAACATGACCATTATGATTGTATTTTAGATATCTATGCTTCACTTCATTAAAGATTTCAAGGGCTTTTAGTGGGTTCTTCTGTTCACGAATAATCTGTGAGAGTTGGGTGGGTGTTAGCATCCTTGGCCATCTAATTACCATGTTAGCAACAGCAGAAACTCTGAAACAAGCCAGAAAATTAGATGAAAAGAAGCAAACATATCAACCATGAACAAAACCATACAACAATTGAAAATAATAACAAATTTCCTACTATGAGAGCTGATTGTTGTTCCTTTTCGCTGGTTAATACAGAGCAGGAGAAGTCTCCAGAATTGGGGGGTCGTCGACAGTTATCATCTTTTTGAACGATAGCAAAAAGATGAAAATACAATTGATAATGTTATGCAAAATAGATGTTTTCTAAATCATCTAAACAGAATACAAAGGTCATTTCAAAGGTTTAACATATGTAAGCCTTAACGAGCTTTAAATCCGTCTAAAGGCCTTGGTCGAACAATATACTGAGTGTTTTAGTCCAAAAGCGTATGTCAACATCTGTGTTTGCCATGTATAAACAAGTATGAAGTACTAAAAACTTATACCAGAGATTACTTTTTATGAACGCCAAAACATTAATGTAGTCGCTCTGATTTATAATGAATATTCCACATTTGAGGTACTCTAATATTAAAATATGAGTATTACCCATCATTACAGGCCTCCTGAGAATTTTTTTTTTAAAAAAGGTTGAACTCCAAATTGGCATTTCATTTTACTTATTCTTTTATTTAGTGATGTTATCTCTACAATGTAAAAAGCTTGAATGAAGGAGGGTATTGTGGATATAAAAAATTTGTTGGTTGTATTCTAATCTTATTATTTTACTTATATATTATTATTTTCTTTGGTGATGTTATATAGGTACATCTGTTGTATGTGGATGACATTTTTTTTACGAAGGGCTGTTATATATTTTTTTATACCAAAAAAACCGGTTTCTTACCAAATGCTCTTTGACTTGTGTTCCCTATAGGGCTGACCACATTGGAAGCGATCTTGTGCAATCATTATTCGTTTTCAAAGGTATGTCATTTTAACGACAAATTTTACTAACTTTACATGCAATTATTTTTATTGCATAGTCAGTAGACTAATAGTATGACCTTTCATTGCTTTCCTATCAAGGTAAGGACATTTAAATTTCCTTTGATATATCATTGTTATTCAGAGTTGTGTTAGAAACAGTTTCAATTGTTACTACTCTGTACATTTTTGTTACCTTTCCAGTTTCTTTTCTTTTTAATTTTAAATTTTAAAATTAAACAACCAGTTTGAATTGTTTAACAATTACCAATTTCACAATCTGCCCTAAACCCTAATCTAAATCAAATAGTTTTTCAAGTTTAAATAATATTAATATTTACTATATATATAAAAGTATAAAAGGTTATGTTTGTCGTGTGGTATGTGATAGTTTCTTACATTATAGCTATGTATTATTATGTTTGAAAGTTTATCATAACATTTTATTAAAAATTACTATTAAATGTTTAGACATTAGTATTGACTAATATGGGCTTTGTCTCCCTGGATCCAGTTTTCAATCTATTGAATGAAAGTAAGCTTCTATAATGGGATTGTTGAATTTGAATGTCATAAGTTAACTTGTAAAGGTAGTAAATGCAGAAATAGAAAAATAGTTAGAAACTTTTTGCCTAAAAAGATACCAGTGCAATTATTGTTTTATGCCAGTTATTCTATATGTTTTCTCGTCCTGTAAAGTTTTACATGAACATTTTGGTATCATTCCACTTACTATATATGAGGTAACCTCTCAGCAGAAAAGAACAAAAGCTAACTTCAACAATCTTTTGAATTAAGCTGAAATGTAGGATGGTTATAGGTATCATTTGTGTTTTCCAAAAACCTTCAAGGAACACTATGAGGGATTAAAGCCCTCTGAAACCTCATCACTACGACACTCTACCACTGCTCTCCCTTTGGTGCTGCACTTGCCATTACCGTTAATAAACTTTTTCTTCTGCTTTTCCTGCCCATATAGGTCCGTGTTTGGTAACCATCTTTGCTCACAAATTCCAACACAGAACACTATTTATATTATCAGTTATTTTGTGTTAAACAGTCAATTTACAACAAAAAAAGACTTCAGTAGACTACCTGTGCAGTGTATCACAGTATACTAACATCACTAATGCTTAAAAACCCCTCCTATAATTCAATAATTTGGTAAATCAGAGGCAAAGGAAGAGGCTGATCCCATATGAGATCATATCATTTCCTTCTTCCTAATTTAAGTAAATTGTACTATGATGTACTTTTAAGTTATACTTTCCCTCATATTTGACACTTTTCACAGTCAAGGTTTTATTATTGCGTGGAATCTTGAACATAGGTAACCGGTACTTTTAATGTAATAATATCACTAAGAGAGGAACAAACCAATTGCTGTATGTGGACTTTATTATATAGAATTTTTTGTGTTAAATTAAGGTTTGGTATGTAAGGAAAGTGTGTATATTGAGTGTTTTGGACCGAAAGCGTATTGCAAAATCTGTCTTTGATGTTGTTGAAAACTATGGAGAGCTAAAAACTTATACTACAGAGTACTTTTTGTGAAATCAAATGCATTAATTTATTTTGTGTATTTATTATGATTATTCAAAGTTTCAGGTTGTCTAAGATTAAAATATGAGTATTACCCATCATTCCAAACCTCATGAATTTTTTTTAAAAAAATGTTGAACTCCATGTCGGCGCTTCATTTTACTTATTCTCTTTTCTTTGGCGATGTTATCTCATCTCTATATAATGTATAATAATCTTCAATGAAGTTTAGGGTATTATGGGTATAAAATATTTGTTGATGGTATTCTAGACTTATGGTTTTTTTTATTATTCTTTTTTTAGTGATGTTATATAAGTTTGTCTATTGTATGTGAAGCACATGCCTTTTTTAAATGTAGGTCTGTATTATTATCCCCCCCCTCACGTTAAACAAGCTGAAATATATATTACAACTTACAAGGTTAAAATTCCTTACTTTACGTATTATTAAAAAATTGTTACTGAAGTCCATTTATACCATTGTTAATATTGTAGCAATGGTTGTTGTTGTAATTGATAAACTTCCAAGAGAAACCCAGTCGACTTCAAATGGTGTCCGGTCTATCAAGTATTTCATTGTGGTTGATGGACTGTAAGTAGGACCTATGATTAATCTTATTGTATTGTTGAAGTTATTTACAACATCATGCACTCATACAAATCCATCACAATTCCAACAGGCTGAAGCCGGTGCAATTCACACTTTGGGATGAGTTGACGCTAACAAAGGGAGTTGAAATCTTTGACGAACTAACTGAAAAAAAGTATCCTATAGTGAGCCTAGAAGACATTAAGGCTACCGACTTCAAAGGTACTATTATAACTCTATAACGCATATTACATATTCGCACCGATTACTAATTTTGCTCTTAATACATAGGGATATCTTTGACTTCAACGTCTCATTCAACAATCACTCTCAATTCCGATTTGCCTCGTGTTGCAGAATTGGAGAAATGGTAATGTCTACCTTCTGTAATAATATGGTAATCATATAAGGTTCTAAGTGTTCTTTAATTTGGTGCTTTGTATTGGTCATCATTATGGATATCTTTATGAAAATTGTTCTAGGGATCCTAATCATGTTGAATACACATTAAATACAATATGGATGATAATTACATAGTTTAATTTGCAGAATCTTCCTCTATTGATTCTTTTTACATACATAAGGGCTACTTCCATAGTCTTTTCATTCTACATACTCAGAACCATTCTTGGTTCAATGAGCTGGCAAACTATGATAATTTATTTATTTATGAATTTATATAATATTTTGGAGAAAAAACTAATAAGCTCATAAATTAGGACAGTGAATAAGTTATAGTCTCATGATTAGTATTCACTTATAGCAAGTTATTTTTCAATACAAAAACAACAATTTATTTGACTCAACAAGCTTGGTCACACTGTTTTTTTTATCCAGTTTTGGTTCTTTCACAAATTTTGAAAACTTAGCGTCTTTCTATTATCAGACATCCTCAATGAGATATAAACACATTCTGCCTCATGTGCAATGAAAGCTATGGGAATGTTTGTGTTTGATTCTTATTAGGAGAAGTGATTTAATTGAGAGATTATACGAAGTGATTAATAATAAAGTTGGTGATGTGAGAAAATAAAGTGACTTCAAGCTAATATTACAAGATAATGTTTGATGATAAATACATTTTTATGTAATACAAAAAGTGAATATGAGATGAAAGATGTTTCAAAAATATAAAAAATTTAGAAAAAAGGTTTTGTTGTTACATTCTTCGCATAAATTGTTGAGCGTGAATATGCACACCATTCTTTCCCCTTTTAACGTTACGGGAACTTCTTGTATCTACATATATGCTTATAACGTGTGACTGATTACGATCAACCTACGTGTAGGGCTATTGACCACAAGTCCACCCTCGATGCTGTGAAGGCTGGCCGCGCGTTCTTGGATGCTGGCTTCCACCTAGCAAATCCTGACAACGAAACAATCACCCCAATAGTTAAAGTCCCTGCTATCATTCCTCAAGTATGTTACAATTATATACTTCATTCCTCCCAATGCCTATATGACATGTTTTTCCTAATAACGATTTACACTGTAAAAAAAAATGACGACGTATGCAATAAATCACCCAAAAATTTATGTAACCCATGATATAAATTACTTTAAATCCATTACATTACTGTGGCTTATCCATTCTAATTTGTGTAATCCATAAACACTGACAGGGAAGGCCTATTTGGATCAAAGGCACAATCACTTTGGTTTTAGAAAACTATAGCCTCTGGTATGTTGCTTGTAGCCATTGTGCCAAAATAAAACACGCTGGTTGTGACGCAATATTTCACTGCATGAGTTGCGGTCAAGAAAATGCTTATGGCGTTCCAAGGCAAGTACGCCACTTGTATTACACCATACAACATAAGTATACATCATTTTCCTCAAAAAATCATATTATAACCTTCGCGCTGGGCCAAATTACATGTCACAATCGAAGATAAGACAGGATCTGTCAGTGGAATAATGTTTGGCTTGTGCGCTGAAAAGTTATTGCTTATGACAAGCAAGCAAGTCATGGAAATAGAATCACAGGTAACATCATCCACAATACCGCCCAATTAAATTATCATTTAATGAAACCAAATATATTTGTTTTTTGAATTTGTTTTTTGCATTTGTTTACTACTGCCAAAAACATTAACTACATTGTAAAATTAATTAAAAATGTCACCCAAAGGTTTATTCGCCAACTCTATGCCATAGCTTTTTTAACAAAATCATCAAATGAAGTATAATCTCTTATGGAATTTGGGTCCTGTAGAAATATGAATAGTATACACATTGTCATTTGTCAAAGTCTAATTTTCTACTAGATTTAAATTCTATATGAAACCACTCATTGAAATTCTTTTGGACTTGGTAGGGGAAAAAGCTTCATTCCCATACATAAACAAGCGCCTTGCTAAGGAAGAGTACATAGTCCAGTTGAGGTCTTCGCTAGACAATTGGAGTTCAAAAAACAACTATCCTCGTACTTCAAAGACATCTTATATCATAACATCTTTGCACGAGTCTTCGTTGCACATAATAAAGATGGTTGAAGCAAATGCTGCCGATCACACTGCACCCAGTGAAAGCACAAGCACTTCAAGCCCTCCCATGAAACGCATCAAAACAGTGTGACGGAGAACACACAACCATCCAAACCATTCCACGACTCACCAAATTGTGTTATTACATTCAAATACTTTCATTTTTGCAGTACTATGTTCCATTTTGATTTTTGAATATTATCGCTCCTGCAACCATAAACATATTTTTCCATGATACACTACTAAGCTTGTTTCCATGATACAATATTATGTCCATTTCTTCTCATTTTAATAAATTACACACTAATAATGCAATCATGAAATTTTCATTATACTATTTGGGAGTTCTATTTCAATGTTATTTCAAAAGGGAATGCATGTTGTACACACACTACCACACAAACTTTCACATTGGCCATTATCCCTATTATAAAAACACATTGGGCACAATCTCCATCGCGCCACGCGCGTTGCGAAAACTAGTAGGATAAGAAAGATTGCTCCATAGCCATCTGGATAAATAGCTAAATCGGGATACCACTAGCGAATTGTAGAGAGAAAGAAGAGCTATGAAGTTAGAGAGAGAAAACAATTGTATTAATGATTTTCGAACTGTTAAATCTACCTACATCCGCCCAAAGACCGGCTATTTATACCAATCATAAATGCTAACATTAAATGACATACACATGCAAGTTGGTCTATGACTGAAAGCATCAATGTGAGGCAGATGCGGGCACATCGCAGAGCATTAAATGTTGTGATTGAGTGCTCGAAGAAGCCGACCGAAAGTTCTCTAGGTTGGAGTTAAGGGTTTTGCCCACGGTCCTTGAAGGCTCTTTCCTGAGGGCTCACCACGAGACGAGATATCCCGTATCAAGCATGTAAGATGGCCTTTGTGTGAGTTGTCATTGGCTACCGCCCTCGGGCTTGTACCTTAGAGGTACTCGACTTGTTTGTCTGAGCTAGTTGAGGCAATTGGGTCTGTTGTGGTAGCAGGAGTATATGGATGGGGAGGGGGGGGGGGGTCCTGTAGTGAGCTGGCACAAGAGCAAAGGGATAAATCCTCCATGGCATCATGTCTAGTTGGTTAAGTGACCGTTGGGAGTGGCGCCACATGTCAACAATTGATAGGACCATAGTGGGCGGGCTTTCCTATTGGGCTAGCCCGATGATTTGTAATGATTGCTATCTTACCGGAGTGGTATAACTTTTGAAGAATGAATGAGGTGTATTAACTTTTAATTTGATGTAATTAAGTTTTTTTTTGAAAGAAACGTCAAACTATATTAATTTAACTAATAATTTGGAGGTACAATCAGCGAAAAACTCAAGATCTAACAACAGACTCCATCTAGACTCAAGAAAAGTCCTACAATCAGATTTTGAGAATGAATACAAATAAATAAGTTCATGAAGTAACAAAATGTATTCAAATAAATAAGTACTCCGTATGTAGTACTCCCCCGTCGCTTAAAACTTTGTCGACTTTCCTTTTTTGGATGTCCCACTAAATTTGTCACTTTCCCTTTTAAGTAAATAATTTGTGGTTCCAGTTAATTCTTTCTCTTCACAAACCTTAACCACACAACTTTTACTTTATTAATCGACGAGCCAATCAAACTTGGCAAACTTTTAAGGGACGGACGGAGGGAGTATTTACATTAAGAATGGATTAATTACATTCGAGAATATTTGCCTACCTGCTTATTTTTTTGGTGATATTTGCCTACCCGCTTTAATCCATTTCGAATGGGCCAAAAGGCGGCCCGCTGTCCACTGTAATCTGACTAAAATCTTAAACCCTAACTTCTTTTCAATTTCATTCGCAGAGTTCACAACCGACCATGGTACAGCTCCGTCTTCTCTTCCTCGATCCTCTTCGATTCGTTCATCGACCTGTGACTGACTACCTGCCATTGTTTTTTGTGTAGGGTATTGATCTGGAAGCGGGTGGCAAAAGCAAGAAGACGAAACGCACAGCTCCGAAGTCCGACGACATTTACTTGAGACTCCTTGTGAAGGTGTGATTCGACCTATGTAATTCATTTCTATGTGTTTTGGAATGTTTATGTGTTCATCCCTGTAAAATATGCATGTTCCTATTTGCATGTTTGTCTTTGTATGCATATATATGTTGTGTGTGTAGTTCTGAATCAGCGGGTTGTTCTTACAGCTTTACCGATTTTTGGTGAGAAGAACCGGAAGTCAGTTCGATGCCGTCATCCTGAAGCGTCTGTTTATGAGCAAGATCAACAAGCCTCCGCTTTCTCTCTCCAGGCTCCTTTCCTTCATGAACGGAAAGGTATTATCGTTGTAGCTTGTATGTTAATATAATGGTTGCGTTTATATGCAATTTCATGTTCCTCTCTATAGCTTCCTCAATATTGTGTTGATTTATGGTTTGTCCCTATAGGAGGACAAGATTGCTGTGTTAGTTGGCACTATTACCGATGATTTAAGAGCTTATGATGTCCCCGCAATAAAGGTTTGTGCTCTGAAGTTCACCAAAACTGCAAGGGCCAGAATAGAGAAGGCAGGCGGTGAATGTTTGACTTTTGATCAGTTAGCTCTTCGTGCTCCTTTAGGACAGAACACGGTAAACAATATAATACCTACCATGGCTATCTTACTTGATGCAGACATAATTACACTTTTATACCGTTATCTGACTTTGTTGATTCAATCATTTCAACCTATGTGATCAATGCGAATGTGGTTGCCTTGCATAACCTTTGATTTTACTAAAGGTGCATGTTTCTTTCAGATTTTGTTCCTTCTGAAAATGCTGCATTGCATTTCATAACTAGACCTGCACATGTGTTACCTGTTCCGTCCCAAGTTCTAATTATTAAGCGTATTTTTTCTTCCAAAAAAGGAGTCCCTTTTTATTCTATGATTACAATTAAATAAGATTATGAAGTAACATAATGTATCCACAAGAAAGTTTAACCTCTGTATGACAGTTGGGTAAACCACCAGAAAGGTTGTAAAATAATAGTACTGTATGATTCAATAGTTCATTGTCCCAAATAAAAAGGTTTTCATAGGTCAAGCAGGACTCCTAATGGGACATAAGTGCCTTGATAAAAGGAAACATATTAGCTAGCCTCTACTTTTTGTCAAGTATCTTTGTTGGGTTTCACAGGTTCTGCTGAGAGGTCCTAAAAATTCTCGTGAAGCAGTTAAACACTTCGGCCCAGCTCCAGGTGTTCCACACAGTCACACCAAGCCTTATGTCCGTGCCAAGGGGAGGAAATTTGAGAAAGCAAGAGGCAAAAGAAATAGCAGGGGATACAAGGCTTAATTTTATTGTTGTGAGGCAAAACAAATATCATTTGCACTCTGGTATTGGGATTTTGCAAGATATTATCTATCATTAGTGTGAATTGTTTCACTCCAGTGCTTAGTTGATTTCAAACTTTTTGAGGTGTAAAATTTTGGATCTTAAATTTACTTATATACCCAATTGTGTCTTAAATTTTGTTGTTGGACAGTTCACACAATCATACTATGGTGAATGGGGCCTCATCTAATAAGCAATTTGCCTCTCCATTTTAGTTACATTGTTTAGGTAAAAAAATTGACAACCCTTAAGTCTTGAATGATGAGGATTGAGGAGTTTGTTATCAAGAGCGCTTGTGAGTTGTGATTGGAAGAAAGTGTCATAATAAAACATTCTGATTTCCTGAAATCAAACAAAAATTTGAGATAAAATTCCATTTTCTTTCCGTTGTGTGATCAAAGCTTTTAGGCCGTTTTAGAGGCCTTAGGGCTTAGACTAGGGGTGGACTCGGGCCGGTCGGCCCGACCCGGGCCCGGCCCGGTCTTTGTTTGGCCCGGCCCGGCCCGTGGCCCGGTGGGTCCACCAGTTTGGTTTGGCCCGGCCCGGGTGCTGGGCGGTCCGGGCTCGAGCCCAGCTTTTGGTGAACCGGCCCGGCCGGTTCGCGCCTGGTCCGGGCCGGGTTTTTTTTTTGAATTTATTTTAAGTTTTAGGTTCGATTAGGTATTTTGGGCCATTTGGGATGGTTTGGGGTTGAGGGGGAGGGGTAGGGGGTTTAATAGGAGAACCAAAAACCAAAAAAAATATGTGGGCTGGTTGGCCTGGCCCGGTTTGGCCCGGAACTGGAACCGGCCACCGGCGGTTCAGGCATAGATTTTCTGAACCAAGGTCCGGCCGGGCCCAGGCCCGAACCGGGCCCGAACCGGAACCGGTCCACCCATAGCTTAGACTATGGGTAGACTTGGGTCGGGTGGCCCGACCCGGAACCGGCCTGGCCCGCCACTGTTCCGGCTCGGCCCGGTGGTCGGTCATGGACCGGTCTGGGTAGGCCCGACCCGGGGTGGTTCCGGTCCGGGCTCAGGCCCCTCAAAACGTGAACCGGCCCGGCCGGTTCGGGCCTGGTCCGGGCCATTTTTTTTTTAAAGTTTTTGGATTGAGCTAGGTATTTTGGGCCATTTGAGGTGATTTGAAGTGGTTTGGGTGTGAGGGTGGGGGGTTAATTAGGAAAAGGCAAAAAAAATATACCCGAGGCCCGGCCTGGCCCGATCCGGACCCGGCGGTTACACGGGCCGGTTCCAGGCCCTCCAATCCAGGACCAGAGGCCTGACCGGGCCTAGGCCCGGCCCGAGCCGAGTCCATCCATATCTAGACCTTATGGATGACCGATGAGCCAATGAGGAGTTTGTGTTTTATATGCTCCCGAGTAAGTTTTTAATAACCCAAATAATAGAGGAAATATTAAATACAGGGTATATATCTAATTAAATGTTTGTGCCCTATTTAGGGATGATAGAATTCTGTATACAGCTGAAACATAAAAAAAAAATGATTCCAATCTTTAAAACTTCTCAAAAGTCCAAAAGACCACCTAATAACCCTTTGGATTCTTGATTTCCCGACGGTGCCTTCACCTCCGTTTCTGTGGGAGGAGCAACCACTGATGCCGCAGCTTGAGTGGGTGGCGAGGTAGTCACCCCGTTTTCAGATGGGGCTCCAACTTCATCAGTTTGGGCCATAGCTGAGTTTTCAGCTGGGCTTAGAGTCTGATTATCAGCTTCAGTCGAAGCCGCCACAGGAATTGATACCACACTCGATTCGGCTTTAGTGGAAGTTTCATCTTGAGCCGGAGCTGGAGCTGATCCACTGCTAGTCGAGGCGAATTGAACTGACGGCGTAGCTTCAAAGTCCGGACTTAATGGTGCTGGATCGGTCACAGCTGTTGTCGGAGAAGATAGAGTTGGAGCATCTGCTCCGGCTGAAACCTGACTGGGAGGTTCGGATTGAGTCGGAGACGACGCCGGAGATGATAAAACTGGAAGAGGTGTATTGGTAGTAGTCTGCGCGGGAATTTCTGCGGATTGAACTGGCGGGGCTGCTTCCGGAGCCAAAACCGAAACAGGAACCGGATCCTGAACTGGGGCCGGAGCCGGAGCGACTTTGGGAGGATCATAAGCCGCTTTATCTTCCGGAGCCACCATATCTTTCGTCTCGTCGGGCTCCACCGGGGAGTAAGTAATTGTGGTGTTAGGTTTAGGAGGCGGGAAAATGAAACCAGGGTTATAGGGAAGACCAGGAACTGTTTTAATCCAGGTTTCACCTTGTAAGAACCGGGCAGCTGTGAACCGCTCAATCCGATTCAATGGAAGCTCCTTGACACCTCCCCATTTCACACGGTTCTCCTTGCCAGAAGCCGGGCCTCGGTTGTTGTACTCGGCGTAAAAGAGCGTTTCGAGTGCAAAATCGCCTGCCCACGGCAACCACCCATCCTGCTGGATGAAGTCCTCCAAGTACGATTCCATGATCACGGTTCGGGAATATTCTTTCCAGGGCCGGCCGAGGTACGATTTGAGTGTGAACCGGACCGGTTGGTACTCCGGGTCGGCCACGAAGCTACAGTTCTGTAAGACAAGGCCTGTGGGTTGGCGCGGGTCTATCCGACCCTGCGCTGTCACAATGCACTGCTGATTCTCCAATGGCTTTCGCACCACCAATGTGCAGTTTTGGAGCACGGCAGCGCTGTTTCCGAATATAAAATCTATGGTTCCAGAGATGACACAATTCCGGTAGAATTGGCGGTAGAGGTGGGCATACAGAGTGTCCTGGTACCCGTCCATTTGACAGTTGTAAAAAATTGATCTGTCCGCGCCAACTCTCAATGCCACCGCTTGGTGTTTCTCTGGCCCGGCTGCGTTCTCAAACCCGATGTCTTTAGCCATGAAATAGTCTCCCAATGCAGCTACAATATTGAAATGTATGTATGTTTAGATTACTAATGAGCTCTAAGATGTAAAGTTTTATTATCATCATAAAAGTTATAAGATGAATGAATGAGTGATGTAATTCTTTATATTTGATCTGTTTATGATCTTCTTAGAAAGTTTACTAAGATCAGGATGAACTTACCCACAGTTGCTGTATGAAAAGTCGAAATTCCATCAACGTAGTTTAGTTTTCCAGTGATTCTGGTCTTGGTTGGACCATCTCCCATAATCATCAAATGTGTCATGTTACGGTAAAATGTAACTTGCTCCTCATAAACACCTTCTTTGATGTACAAAACAAATGTGTTGTTACTATTCCTCGGGATATCCTTTAATGCCTCGTTTATGGTCTTGTACTTCCCAGACCCATCCTTGGCCACGATGAGATCAGGTTTGATGTGTGACGTCTTGGCTGTAAGCAACCTTCCCCTTCCGGCCTCGACCCAATCAGGAGTTGCTTCTCCCACAAATTCATCATCATGTCCAACGACATGTTCTTTATCATTTTCATTGTCTGAGAGAAGGCGGCGTTTGTTAGCACTGCTACTGATACCCTCAACGCCCAAATTTGAGAGGACAGACGATATTTCAGTTGCCATTGCCAAAGCATTGCTCGTCAATTGCATTGACGTTCTGAGAAGGTTTTTCATTTTGGTCTGACTATCTCCTGGGATGCCTTCGAACCCATCGAGGCAGGTTTCTTGATACGTGAGGGAACCGCTAAGCCACGTCTGCAAGTCAGATAACCAGTTATCTAAATCGGCTAGATCAAACTCACTGAACTTTTCGAATGTCCTATTCAGATCGTCAATGGCACGTTCTGCCAAGACGTGGCAGTTATCCAACGCATCTTTGGATCTCTTGTCCCCCTGACGGACCTCCTTGAATAATGTTGAATTGTTCATTGCATTGCGAATTTCCTTAATGGTAATCTCCATGGAGGCTTGGATGAGCTCCTTTGGATCCGTGGCATTGGCTGCCGAGGAGGACTCGAGGCTCTTGACGCAAGTCTCTTGGTAGGAGGTGGGTTGGCATATGGCTTGGATCGCCTTCTCAGATGAGCTTATTTCCTTGCGAACGGTCGTGTCACGGCCTCCCGTCCCTATTGTCAGGCCAATCACCATCGCCACAAGAAGTAGCGAACACACGCCCAGGACGATCATGTTTTTCTTCTTTTCCTCCTCTGCCATTTCTCCCGAGCTAGATTATTTCTTGTTTTTTGTTTACAACTCTTATTTTCCTAAGGAAATCAATATATGTGAAGAATGTGAAGAAGGGCCGGGCTCAAGGAGGTGCTTGACCCTCTCCTCTGAATGCGGGAGAACAATAATTGTAAGTGAAGCAATTTTTATAGCATTTTTTAGGGATGTTAGTTATTCTCGTTATGGAAGAAGGTATGTGATGGATTCAATTGGTGGGAGGGAAAGTTAGATGCGAGGAATATGAGAATATAATGTTTAGTTGATATTACATACTTCGTATATATCAGGATAACTAGACTAGAGAAGGAGGCTAATTATACATAGAAAAACGTGTGATCCTAATTGTTTCTAGCTACTTCTTTCAATTTGTTACCTGAAACACGGACACAACGACCCAATGACTAAAAATGTTCAGTGTCATACGTCTGGTATTAGTGTAAAATGGCTAGATATTAAAAATTTACAATGAAAAAAAAGTTCTTTTTAATGATATTATCTTAAAAGTGTAAAATTTACAAGTTTCACAAAGTATTTATACTTCATATTAGTAACAATTAGTGATGGATCGGTTCCGGGCCGACCGGCCCGTGGCCCGGCCCGACATTGTTTGGAACCGGCCCGGCCAGAGACCGATCCGGGTAGGCCCGACCCGGGGGTTTCATAGGGCGGGCTCGGGTCCGCCAAAATAGGAACCGCCGGGCAGGGCCGGCCCGGTTCGGGCCTATTCTTATTTTTATTTTTAATTCAATTTTTTTTTCCCTGGGTTGGGCTGAGTGTTTTGGGGGGTTTGGGGGTGGGGAATAGGGGTGGACTCGGGCCGGTCGGCCCGACCCGGCCCCGGCCCGGTCACTGTTTGGCCCGGCCCGGCCCGGCCCGTGGCCCGGTGGGTCCACCGGTTCGGTTTGGCCCGGTTCGGGTGCTGGGCGGTCCGGGCTCGGGCCCAGCTTTTGGTGAACCAGCCCGGCCGGTTTGGGCCCGGTCCGGGCCGGAACCGGTCACCGGCGGTTCGGGCTCGGGCCTAGATTTTCTGAACCACGAACCGGCCGGGCCCAGGCCCGAACCGGCCCGAGTCCACCCCTAGTGGGGAATGAGTCGGCGACCAGCTGGGCTGGGCTGCTTCATCAACTTATTTTCATATATATATATATATATATATATATATATATATATATATATATATATATATATAATAGTAACTACAATGTAATCTGTGTTTGGATAACGGCGAATTAACCATTTTTGACGTTTCAAATAATTGTGCATTGTTTTGTTTCATTTATCACGTTAAGAAGTATTCTGTTCTGAACCGAACCCTACGTAACATATATAGCATGCTCCCACCATTCTACTCTTCAAGAGACTTGCTTCCTTAGCTTATCAATTATCATCAGACCATTTTGATCACTTCGCTGCTTTTCTATAAGGATTATCTGCTCGTTGAAAAAAGAGAGTAGTAAATATACTTACCCAAACAAGAGATATAGTTCTACACTTCTACTTCTACCTATAATTTGCGTGCTCATATGCTTTGTCTTATCATTAGAACATGCAAGAATTGTTGCATTATTGATACTCCACACTAAGGGTGTGTTTGGGAGTTTGGAAGGAAAGAGAGGGAAAGCCTTTCAAATTTGGAGTAAATTTGAATAAGAGAATCTTGGAAGGAATTATAATTACAATTACTACTGAAATATGATGAATTCAAATGGTTCAATTGATATTCATTTTAAATGGAGTTTAAATTATCATTTAGTTAATTATCCTTAAAAATCCCTCATTTAGGAGAAACTTAAAAATCGAGCATTTTAGAGGTGTTGGAGGGTTACAAAAATCTTCCAAAACTACTGATCCACATTTCTTAAACACCCAAACACAAATAGGAGAGTCATACAACCTTACATGTCTTCCCTTTCCTCCCAAAAACCAACTCTCAAAAACACTCTAAAAGATCCAAGGGCGGATCAAGGGCATTGAGCTAGATTGCACCGATACAAAGATTACTTTCAAAAAAAATTATAAAGCCATAAAAAATTAGGCATTTTTTAAAATTTGGGATGAGTCATGGCCTAAGTTGGTCCTCTACCTCCACCCATAAAAAAACCTAAAGTTTTGAGAATTTAATTTACATGCAAGTAGGCAGGGTGGCCTTGCGTGGTCCTACCCACCATAAATTGGTAAGAAATTATACTTAAATTGTGTGTAAAAAACTTTTTGTAAAAATTTATATGAAAAAAATCTTTCTGTGTGTTTACTCCAATACTTTTTCGAGCTACGCCAATCTATAAAATACTCTATATACACAAGTTCTTTTGATTTAGTTGGTTAAAAAATTACAGTTTTTTAGAATTTTATCTTGAAAAATGTGATCACTAATCACCAAATTTAAAAGTAGATTAATACTACGTTAATATTTAGATATTAAAAGGGAAAGTTCCCGAAATAGGACTAAAACAGTTTGAAAAATTCCAAAATAGGACTGTCATGTTTTTTATTCCCAAAATAGGAGTAATTACTGTTAAATTTGGAAAATATTGCCATGTTTGAAGTCTGGTACTGCCAAAACATGACAGTAATTAGTCCTATTTTGGGAATAAAAACATGGCAGTCCTATTTTGGAATTTTTAAACTTTTTAAATCTTATTTCGGGTACTATTTCATATTAAAAGTGGATATCATTTTCATTACAAAAGGCATTGTATTTTAGAGACAAATGGGTAAAAATAATTTGAAATTCTTACATGAATACTACGGAGTACGGAGTATATTTTTTCTTCAAATAGGAGTAACGGCAGGAATTTTAAAATGCCCGTTACGGGCTCCTTAGGGAGCACGCAGCCACGCGTCTCACTAAACATATGCTACTTCGTATTAATCGTATAATCGTATGCACAGGAAAAGCAAAAGACACGTGTTAGTACATTAGTTTTTTAACTTAATGTGGATGAAATTTAAACCTACATATTACTTAATTACTTAGTGAAGTGAAAATGTTAAGACCACGTTTGATGACCATGTTTTTCAATTAATCAGTCTAGTTTATTAGTCATTTTTTTTATCAAATATGTTTTTGGTTTCACTCAGTGGCGTATCTAGGAATTTTGGTGAGTGGGGGCAAACTTGCACACAATTTAGTCTCATACTCCGTATTTCACATATAGCAAATCACATTATTCATATTGTTTGAATTGGTTCTGAATTTGGTTAAATTGGATGATTCTGCTGAAATTTATGAAGTTCTTTGTTTAAGTGGCTGAATTGACCGGTTCTGTTAAATTATGAAAAAACAATATTTCGGAATTATATAAAATAAAGAAAAAGAATATGAAAATAGTTAAAATGGTTCTCTGCATCAACTTCAATGAATTTAGCCAGAAAATTAAATTCAACCTTATTTATTTGATTATTATATTGCTCAGCAAGCGAAATCAAAAGTTACATATTTTATGGTCACCAAACATGATCTTAATATTTTTTTTCCGAAATGTACTGAGCTGTTTAACTGCGCAGTTATCTTCAAAAAATCATTTGACTGCCTTCCCGGTTGAAGTTTTAGCTAAAATTTGGTATGCATAAACTATATTTAATAAAGAAGATGCTCAAAAAATTTCATCAAGAAATTCCACCGGGAAACGCCCCAATTGGCAACGGCCGGGTAGAACCTCCTATAAAAGAGGCTAATTGAACGCTTTAAATTAATTCATATACCTATTTGACTCTTTAGCCTAATTTTAGAAAAATGTAGTAAGAATAGTCATATGTTTTTCCTATGCATCCGGTTATACGAAATTACGAAGTAATAGTGCTATGTACGTAGTTACGTACTACTCCGTTTAGTTGATGCGCGTGCACTCTAAGGAGCCCGTAACGGGCATTTTAAAATTCTTCCTCAACGTGCTATAATCCCAATATTATATTGTCGTGTTTTGATATTACGAGACATTGATTGACTAGGCATTAATCTGAGAATATTAATGTCATAATTGACTATATATCTCTAGTTCCTTCAAAAAAAAAAAGACTATATATCTCTAGCATGACATTAGCTACTGTATAGTTGTATTTAAAGAACAGGAAAGTTAGTGCTCCTCATTTGGAATTGCACATTATTTTTACACTTATTTAAATCAATATTATTTATTCTAGATTAGTATAGGGGCTCTTAAAATTTGGATGAGCGTTTTACATTGCTTAAAATGTTTTTATTTGCTTTAAAAAAGTTAAAAAAAATGTTTTTTAGTTTGTCTTTCTACTTAAATTAAATTGGTAAGCGTGAGAAACTTTTAACTCTTCTATCATTTTTTCCAGAACATTAGTTTTACTTTTTAAAAATCACTTCAACGATACTTGTGACT